TTATCAGTGCTCTGTGGAAATAATAATGGAAAAATCATCTTTTCCACCAGCCGTCTGTGGCTGTTATGGTGAGATGCAAGTGGAAGTGGCTGCWAACCCCGATGGATATTCAGTGTTCTCATTCCTTACATACTTTTGACATGGTTTTCATGCCCCTGGGAGCAGGTCTGGGTTGAGCCATGTTCACTCGTGTCCGTTCCTGTTGCCTGAACGAGTGTCCTTGTCTCCCTGCACAAGAAGAGGGCACAATTCCTCACGCTCTGTCCTGCGTTTGGCTGAAATGGATGTTCCCTGGAGCCTGCGACGCGGAGGGGGTTTCAGCAGTGACACTGCTGGTGGTTTCCCACCTCGCTGTCCAGCCACTAAGGATGCTCCCGAGTCCCCCTTGCTGTTCCCCTCGCCGCCTCCGTGCTCCTTTGTTCCCGGCTCCGTGCTGTCCTTCACCTCTGTGTTTGCCAACTTTCCATCTCCCTCCCATGCCTTAATTTTTTTTACCCCTGGAAATGTGCTCCTTTTTGCAGCAGAAACCCTCCAGCCGAAGGCAGGGAACCAGCCCTCCCTTGTGTTCCCGTGGAGTTGTCACCAGCAATCCGAAGCCCTCCCTCTCTGAACTGCATCAGCCCTCTAATTTAGCATGTAAGGTCCTTAGGGCAAGCATTAGATCTGCTCTGTGTACTTCTGCTCAGTTTTATTACTAAAACAAATACAACCCAGCAGCTGATAATTTAGTTGTGTTTGCAGCTCTCCGTGCTGCCTCAGACTGCAGAGTGGCACGAGGTGAGTCCCAGGGCAGAGGCCGGGACGGCGAGATCCACGTGCGGGATCCCAAGGACGGGATGAGACCTCGGAGCAGCCCTCGTTGAATGTTCCAGACACCCACATCTTTGTTCTCTGCTGGTGGCACCAAGTGAACGTTGCTCTGGGTTTTGTCTCTCTTTGCCCTGCTTTGCTTGCCACACCAAGGATCTTTCCAACCACCTGCTCTGTTTACATGGAGCTCGAGATGATTCTGACCCATTAAGGCTCCTCTGCTCCATCTGGCCTCTCAGCATTATTATTTACTGTTTCTCAGCAGCTTTCATGTCATGAAAATATATTCCCATCAAAATGGAAGGGAGGCCCTCTAGCTTTGGAGGTTTGGCAAAGCTGACTAGTGTGAGAATTTGCTTTGGGCCATGGAGGAGCAGCAATGAATCTTCTAATAGATCCTGTCCTGCTGCTAGGTCCTTACCAGGAGCAAAAAGTTTCCTTTTGGAAACAGTCCTGCGTGTTAGAATGGTTTGTGAAGGGAGAAGGAGGATGATAAATAGGCACTTGAGTGGTGTTGCTGCTCTAGGAAGTATTTCCAAAATTTAGGTTCTGGAAGAAGCGAAATGCATAAATCTTGAATTCCAACTTTATGAAAATCTTCAGTAGGAGGTCGATAGAGTTGAYAATTTACATTACTATGAATGAGAGCAAAATGAGTAACTAGATGTTCGGTCCCAGAAGCTCGTGTGCCCTGACGGGAGCGTCTCGTGAGGGGGACGCTGCATTCCCGTCGCCACCTGCCTCGTTAGTCACTTGCTTAATTACATGGGTGGCATTTTAAAGTACAAGTATATAAGGACGTTCCAAACACTTCTTATGGATATAGACTATCAGAAACCAGCTGCCTCATTTTACTCCATCATCAGGTAGGTGTCCCAGTGGCTGGTCACCCCGTTATCCCTATAGGTCTTGGGAACAGCTTTATTTATCTATTTGTTGCTTGCTTGGCAGCTGGATTTTTATAAGCTAGTGTTCATGCTGTACGACTCCATGCCTCAAGCCAGGGCAATCCAGTTGAATGATGTATTTCCATAGCAAATTCCTTGCATGCCAAGCTAGGAATTTGCTAGTGTAGTTGGTGAAACCTTAGTTTCCAATGGAGTAATTATTTTTGTGTTGATAATTGCAGAAAAACAGAGCAGAGGCAGACAGAGGATGCTGYGAGAGGAGAGGTCTCAGCACAGCCGAGGTTACGGCCGCACGCGGGAGGGTTCCAGTGCGGGGACCTCCTGGGCCGCTCCAGCCGGCACAGGGGTCCCAGGGAGCTGCGAGCAGCCCAGGTGCTTTGCAGGYGCCCTGAGGAAGGTGACGGCTGCTTCTTCCCTCCAGGAGCTCCCTTGGGCTCCTCTTGGGACGTGTTTCTGCCCCGCACGGTGAGTCCTGCGCGGGGGCAGCGGGTCCCGCCGTGCAGAGCGCCCGGAGAGGCGGTGCCGGCCCCGAGCGCGGCGGCTGCAGCTGCCTCAAAATTTGCTAAGCAACAGGAATCCTCGCGTTGTTCCGTAGCAAAGGGAGCCTTTCCTCCTGCTTTTGCTTTTCCTGATAACCAGTTTTCTGTGTTTTCATGGGCAGTTTGGAAAGCGGAATGGGCTGGAGGAGAGGACGGAAACCCAGGGTGGCCCTGGGGCCTCCCTGGCTCCTCGTGCCCTGGTCCCCTTGTGCAGGAGAAGTGGCCACGGGGCTGCCAGGAGATGTTTCCCCAAACAGTTTTAGAATACGAAAAGTGGAAGTTCTTTAATCTAGTAGAGATGGAACCTCATCTGATCCATGTCGCTTACTACTTGGGTCTGGAATATGTAGGAAGGCAAAAGGATTTGGTTGTTTGCATCATTATCTAGGCTTTTTAAAGAAGAACCTCCCTGGAAGCCCTCAGACCGATGTGGAGATGGGAAACCTTGTAGCCCGTTTTTAGGTTTAGTTTGTRCTCCTATTAGGCAGATGTTCAATTTGGTCCTCTGGGGACACGAAGTAAAGCAGAATGAGTTTCCCTAATGTTGGGATATTCTCGAGGCATCTCTTTGCTCTCCAGGCTCTGAGGGATGAACTGGCCATCTCTGCTTCCTGTCGGGAAGGGACCGTCAGCAGGAGAGTCACCAACAGGGAGCTTGTACCACCGAAAGGGGTGTACCCCTCTTGTACCACCAAAGGGGTGACAGGGCTGAAAACGGAGTAGCAATCAGAGCTCCAGAGCGCTGCTCGTGCACGCGAGTCGGTGTGGTGGCCACCGGCGCAGTGCGTCATCCTCTCCCCCCAAAGAAATTCTGCTCCTGTGGTAGCAGCTCTTACCCGAGATGTTCACGTGGACTCCTAGTGCAGCTAGAACCCGGCATTTCCCCATCGCCATCAAAGGTTGGTCTTCGTTGTTGCCTGCAGTGGGAATGCTCTGCTAACGGCTCAGCCGCTGCTGCCGAGGTGGCCGTCAGCGTTCCCCCCATCCATCTCAACAAGTGTTATCTCTTAGCTTGATTTATGTGGATGCTCCTCTCCTTGGAAGAGTTTTCCTGCCTGCTGTGTCAAACGCACTAATTCATGAGTATTTATGTGCTTATGTTCCTCCGGGATCCCCATGTGAGGCCGTGGGAGGGAGCAGCTGCCTTTGAACCGGCGAGCGGGGCCTCTGCGCTCGCTTCCCGGGCGCTGCCGGGACCTTCCTCCCGCCCTCATTCCGGCACATTTGGGTCCTCCTAACGAAAACGGGTGGAATCATTCGGTGCCGTGATTGCCCAGAGATCTTTTACTATCACTTTCAAGGCAAGAAGAATCTCTTTTTTCCCTCAAAAACAAACCAAACGCCTGAATATTCCCATATTCCCACACGCCTCTGTGTACAGGGTTATTCCAAGCGGATAACAGAGCAGCACCRGGCTGCAGTTTCAGCTGCCTAAATCACCATTTGCCAGTATTTCACCACAGAGGCAGCCTGCTGTGTCGCACCCAGACCATGTGCCTTTGGCATGGCCTGGATCCAAGGGATGCCAGGGAGGCCCCTGGCACCTTGGGATGCGGGTGGTGGCAATGTGGTGTCTCTTCCTGATCACTGGAGCTCTTGGTGACCGTGTTGCTCCTCCCTGGGACGTATTGTCTTGCAGGGGGAGCAGGGCTGCTGCTGGCAGCCTTGCCTCCATGGACAGGGATTGCTTTGGATCACCACAGCTCGGAGGCAGCGTTCCCAGGAAGAGGGCTGGGGAGCTGAGCATCCCAGTGGCAGCTGCTGCTCCTGGTGGTAGAAAATGAATAATTTGTTTCTCCTTTCTCACCAGACCTAGGCAATATTTTGATGTGGAAACATAGCTAAAATAGTCATGAAATAGATGGTGGCAATAGGCGGATGAAGAAGTCTTGCCCTGGCACAGCTTTCCACGGCTGCCTGGGGGTCCCGCTGYGAGCAGGGCCGGCAGCGCATCCGATGGTGGCTCCGGACTGGATGAGRCTCCCAAACAAGTGCCCGGGCACAGAGAGACTTCGATTCCCAGCTTGGGCATCTCAGTGTTACCTGCCCTGGTGTTCCTGCGGAAGAGCCCGGGCTCTCCATGCATTTCCTCAGCTGCTTGCGCCGGTGCTGCCTTTGGCTCCGTGAGCCGACTCCTGCCAGCCCTGCGGGATGCCCCAGTGCGGAGCGGGCGCCGGGAGCCGCCTGCCCCCGGGGGCTCCGTGTGCAGCCCCCGTCCACCCGCAGTGCCCCCTTGCCCGGGAAGGGGCGCGCGCTCCTCGCTGCAGCCGAGCCCGGCGCCTGCGGCCGCGCTCCGAGCGCCCTTTCCGTGCTCCGAGCAGCGGGCCCAGGCCAAACCCCGGGCGCAGCACCCGGGAGGAGGCACCGGCCTGCGCCGCCGCTCCGCTCAGCGCTGGGATGCCGCCGCTGGCCGGGGGAACCCACCGCGCATTTCAATGTGCGCGGGGAGCTGTTTTGAATAATAACCGCGCAGCCGGCTGTGAGTCAGTGCGTGTGTGTTGACTTACAAAAAAAAATCCCTGGGAGCGGAGCGCTCGCCGAGCGCGAGCTGCAGCGCGCGGCTCTGCCTCCTCCTCCCCGCTCCGCTCTCTTCCCTCCACTTCCTCGCTGCTTTTCCCCCCCGTTTGGTTCTGGTGGGCATTTCACGTAGGCTTCTTCCCTGGCTGGAACGGGGTGTGGGGGGGAAGAGCCCCAAAGCACCCCCCCCAGCCCAGCCCCTGGCCATCCTCCCCCCAAACTCGCCATGGGGGCCGTCATGGGGACCTTCTCCTCGCTGCAGACGAAACAAAGGCGACCATCGAAAGGTAAGAGCCCCCGCTCGGCTCCCCCTCCACCTGCCGCGCGGTCGGTCGCGGCGGGAAAGGAGGCAGGGGAGAGGAAAAGCAGCATGTGCCACCTGGAGGCACCGCCGGCGCGAGGAGCCCATCCCGGCGGAGAGCGTTGGCGGAGGGAGCGAGCGGGCAGGTGGCTCTGGGAGGAAACCACGGTCCTCGGCGCTGCCCTTCGGAGTGCAGGCTCCATCTGTGGAAGCTGCCACTTCCCAGCTCCCGCGCTCCTTAAATCCGTCGGGGAGGCAGGAGGACGGAGCCACGCGGCTCAGTCTTCCTGTGGCTCCTTTCTCGGGAAGTAGGGAGAGGCAGCGCTGCGCATTCTCTCGCCCGGCTCCGAGCATGAGGCGGCAGGCATGTGTGGTTCATAGAGCTCATCGAGGGGAAGAATATTAGGATGCTCTCAGAGAGAAGGGGAGGAGGAGAAACTCACCAAGAAACAGGGAGTAAGCAGCRTTCCCGGGGATTTCTAAGCCTGAAATCCACAAATTTGTGTTGCAAAATGCTCATTTTTTATTCAGTGTGTTTTGTGTGGTGTTTGCTGGAGCCAGGCTCAGTTGTCTTCAAGGGTTAATTCGGAAATTCCAGGTGCTGCTGAACAGAAAGTTGAAAGCATCATCAGGGGCATGATCACAAGATACACAAGGTATATATACATATATATATATTTTTAAATCAACAGCAGAAAAAAAGGCCTTATAACTTTGAGTCTTTCTGCTATTGGAAAAATATTCTCTGCCAGCAGCTCTATGTTTAACTGTCTGTCAGTATTTCCAGGGTAGATCTCCCTTTTCCCTGGATCTGCAGCTCAGCTCCTGTAAATGCTTTTGGAATGAAAGTTGGTATGGATTCCCTAGCAGTTCTAAAGGCTAAAAATCACCTTTGGAAACATCAAGCAATGATTCTGAAGAGAAATGGGCAAGGGCTGTGCAAGCTGCTTGATCCTTGCGAGTCTTGAGCAAGTGTAAAACCTCTTGCTCTTGGTAGAAGATAAATAGATGACCCAGGAGGGTAGAATTTGGCATAAAAAGGTGCGTGTCAGGTTTATAACTCATGTTTCTGTGTTATTTATAATGCACCCCAGCTGCGTGGCTGTGCCAGCACCGTGCAAGCCGGGAAGCCTGGAGGAGCCAAGTGTTCAGGCACTGCAAGTAACAAAGTGCCATGCACCCTATGGTGGACACCAAAGATACTCGTATCCACCTGCCAGGGATGTGACAGCTGGGCCCCATTTGCACTAAATGTGGCCCAGTTTGGGCTGAGCGGGTCCGTTCCTGCTCCATGTGGTGCCGGGTTGGCTCCGTGCTGGAGCGGGTGGCGGGAATTGCGCCTTGTTGGCGTTCGCAGGCAGTAAACACCCAGCATCTGGTCACACGTTGAGCGCTTACGGTGGAATTCAGCCCTGCTGATGCCTGCTGGCAGGGGCTGCTCTGCTATATTTATCAAAACTTGTGTTCCCAGAGTTAGCTCCTGTTGGCTCCGATGCGCTATCCGTGCGGTGTTGCTGATCAGCAAAGCAGTCGGTTGGAGAAAGCAAGTGGGAAGAAAGGATTTTTGATTTTCTGGGGATTTTCTTGTGTATTTCCAAAGCCAGGATAGGATTTTGCATCTTCTAGTGTTGCTTACGTGCCAGGCAAGAGCATTCYGGAACGCCAGCAGTGCCCGTTTTGGGCAACTTCAGCCAGTTGCAGCTGCTCCCCTGCCCCGTTAGCGTCCCTTTAACTCTTAACACGATGGGCCCCTTAACACCGTCCACCTGCCCCTTTCTTTAGAAGATCCCCTTTGGGAAAAACAAGCCCTTCCCCTATCTAGATTGGCAGCGCTGATTAAAACACGACCAGGGTGAGTTTACATGTTGGCTTCCCCGGTTTGTCCTCCCATTTAGCTGGAATTTCCCTAGTAGTAGCTTGAACTTCTGCTGGTTTCGCTGGACACCTCTGGGAAAAGTCTGGTTCCTCCTTCCCTGTGGGTGGCTGAAGACAAGGYTAAGATGCCCCCGGGTCTCCTCTTAAGCCTGAATCAACCTGTSGCCTCAGCTCCTCCTCCTGCCTCTTGTGCCACAGGCCCAGCCGCCCCGGTGGCCTTGGCCCTGCTCGGCTTTGTCACTGCTGATCTTGTCCCAAGGAGCCTCAACCCGGATCATGACTGAGCTAAGGAGGGGAATCTCTCTGCTCACCAGCATATGGATCCAAAGCAAAAATCTAGCAGCAAAAAATGTGCATTTATGTTAAGAACAGGCACAATAAACCAGCCTCGGCTCCCATTTGYGGAACCACTTTGGATGATGGTTTCCTGCGGTGCAGGCGGACACGGCGCATGCTTTCCTGACCGGCTGCTGGGCAGGAAGCTCCTCGCTTCTGCCTTTCCCAGCTTGGAATCTCAGTCTAATCCAGGCAATACCTATGGAGCTGGCTTCTCCTGCATCCCGAGATTAGTTCAGCTCCACAGTATCACAGAGCTCCTGGTGGAAGATGAGTCCATGGCAAGCCAGCAGCACATCCCGCGGCGAGCACAGCCGGCAGCCCTGCGCTGCATTAAGGGGGAGTGAAAAGGAAATGAAATCCCATTTAAACACAGCAAACAAGCCAAAAACATTCCTCTGTGAGAGCAGTCCAAAGGTTGCCCGGAGGGTGGTGAGGGTCTCTGAAGATGAAGCCTCCAGGACTGGACCTGCTCYGTCTGCCCCTGCTTGGAGCACAGGGTCTGCCATAGACCATCTCCAGAGCTGCCTTCCAGCCTCAACGGTTTGGTGATTTGGGGAATTCTGGGGTGATTTTTTGGTGGAAATGAAACATAGCTCAAGTCTTTCTTGTTGTCACGACCTGCATGTTACTCTAAGCCAAGCCTGTTGCACATGAGTAACCRGTGTTTTGGTCCGAGTCCCCCAAACAGAAGCTCTGAGGAAGAGGCCGGGATAGGTATTTTATTTGGCAGGAGCTCGTAGCATAAATTCGCTTTGCATTAAACCTGAGTTGAATACATGTGCCCTTTCTGTAGTGGCTGAATTCTCCATTTGTTTTGAAGGAAATCTTGCTTAGAAATGTCTTGTCCAAGGCGCTGCTAGACCTGTTGTCGCGCCAGCTGGGACACYGTTCCAGGCACTGCACTTGCCGGGGACCCCTAAACCCCCCTTRACTCGTCTTGGTAACAGGGAGGCTCCGAAGTCACTCCCAGGACTCTGGCCATGGTCCCACCAGGACACGGGGTTGGAGGAGGGAAGGCAGGTGAGGAAGGCACGTTGTATTCTATGTTGGGTCGCGTTAGCGGCGATGTGACGGCGTGTCCCGGGATCTGGGAGATCCCCATGGAGGAGATCCCCATGCGGCTCCTTGGAGCTCCCCTTCACTCCGGCATAAGCCGAAAGGGTGAAGCAGGAAATAATTTCTGGAGGAAACATCCAGCCTCCAGCTTCCTGCAGTGAGACCTACTGCATCTTGGATGGCAGGAATGGCCACCTGGGAAATGTTTATTTTTTTCGTCTTAACGTGTTTCACGCTGCAGAAGTGAAAGGGTTGAAAGGAAATATTTAGCAGAGGTTTTGGTCAAACCCTGTCTGCACATCAGCCACTGTCAGCACGTTCCCAACGAGGAGTCTGTTTAGGGTTGCATAGGTTTTTTGAGGAAAACATTATCTGTAAAGAAGCAGATCTAGGTCAGCCTAARCAATTTATAAATTCCTGCTGATTTTGGTAGAATGCAAGGGAAAGGAGAGAAAAAAAAAGTTTTATTTCCCTGTGTATTAGCCGATGTGGTTGTGCAAGGAAAACGCTGTTTATTTTGATGYGTATTTAAGCTTTATTACAAAGCCGGAAGACTTTGAAGTTTTTCAAAACTGAAGTGAAACATTTCGGAGCTGGAAGATTTCCTGGTTATTTCCTGGGGCTGCTCCCCAAAGATTTTGGAGCGTTGTTTTTGGAGCGTTGGCCTGTACGGGCTGCCCGGGTGCACCCGGCCAAGCTGGAGCCCTTGCTGCTGTCCTGCACAATGGTCACCAAAGACCGGCCCGGACRGGCACCTTGCCAGCGGGGAACACCTCCAGAGCCACCTCCTTGACATGYCTGGCGCTGCAGGTGGTCACCGCAGGGCATCCCTCTTGGAGGAGCTCCTTGGAAGCAGCCCCAGATCCCTGCCGAGGGCCGGGATGTCCCCACGTGCGTGGGAAGGGGCTGGGGGGAGCTGGCGGCTGCTCCATGCGGGGAAGAGGCTCCCAGGAAGCGGGAGAGGTGCCTGGCGCTGCGGGCATCCTTGYGAGGATGGAGCCCCTTGTGCCAGCCCGAGAGCTCCAGGGCTGCAGGCTCTGCGGGCAAAACGCTCCGGGGCTCTGGGCACRGCTCTTTGGTAGAAGCTGCAGGTCACATCGTCTACGAGAGCAGAAGTTTGCTCCAAAATTYAAGCTTTACCTCACCATGGAGTTTGTGCTGGAGAGGGTGGCAGAGYGGAGCTTCAGTTGGCTCCAGCCAAGGCACAGGAAGGTGCTTCCTGGGTCTCCTTCCTGCAGGATATTGCTGCTGTTAGTGGAATATTTATTGCACTGGTGACAGAGCCACAAATGGGTTTGCAATTCGCGGTCCGCGGAGAAGCTGCCAAAACTGCCTCTCTTGCTCCCACGTTTTCCCTGCTGGCTTTCCAGAAACCCAAGCAAAATGTGGGCACCCTCCTGGCTGGTCTGCAGCTTCCTGCACATGTATTCCAGGGACGTGCTCTTGAGCCAGTATCCTCCTGCAAGCTTTTGTAGCTTTGAAGCACGACATGGAAATTGCAATGAGGATATTTGCAGAATTAAAGAGAATTTAGAGCAGCAGCTGTGGAGATTATTGAATTCCTGTATGTAAGTTTGGCCTCAGAACTGAAGCCGGGTTTCCCCCTACCCTCTCTTTGCATCTCAGTTTTAAAGATGCTCGTTGGACCGAGATAGGAAAGGAGATATTTAGAGCATGAGGAAGCTCTCAAAAGGGAGGGGAATCTCAGTGCTCCCA